CAGGGATGGAGGGGGAGGGGACAGAGAACTGAGTGCGGAGACAGAGTCTGACCCCAGCGAGAGAGAAAGTGCTTTTCGCTCCGTTTCTCTCTTGCTCCGAAGCAGAGAGCGCGAGCCCGGGAGGGGGGGCCGAGGGAGAAATAAACAGTCCCAGAGGGAGAAGACAGCGGAGGGACAAAGCCGGGGAGGGGGAAACCGAGTCAGCGGGAAGGGCAGCCCCCCGAGAGCGCAAAGGAGAGGAACAGAGGGACCAGTGGCTGGCGCCTTGGAGAGCCAGGGAGGGGATCCCTGGGATCCCGGCCGAATCTGCCGGTGCCGAGAGGTCCTGGGGCGCCCTCCTCGCGCGCAAGGGGTCCTCACTGTCCCCAGCGGTCCCCGCGGCCACGGGAGCACCGCTGGGCTGCGCAGGCACTGGCTGGCTGGCGACGGGAGGGGGAAAGTGCGAGGCTCCGAAGCGGCGGTGGGGAGCAGAACTTACGTTCCTAGCGCATGCTGGCGCTGGCTTTGCGAAGCTGGAGTGCAGGGGGACCACGGGCGCTCACATCACGCCGCCAGATCCCGGTAGGACAGGGCAGGGACGGGCTGGACTGTGCGCGGCACCCAGCCGGGTCGGGGTTTGCCCGAGTCTGGCGGCCCGCTCTGGTCCCTCCTCTCAGTGCGGCGCTGAAGCCAATGGCGCGCCGTCCCCTCCCACGCACCAGGCTGCCTCGCCCCCAGGGTGGCCGCCGGGGCGGGCGGGAGAGGGGTTGGGGGGACTGGGTTCCGGGCTCCCCAGCAGAGGCTTTCCTGGAAACCGCCGGCGGGGGGCGCGCTCACGCCCCTGGAGAAGGCGCTTAGAATCAAAACCTGTGGCCCCCGCTGCCCAGGATGACTTTCTTGGCAAGTTCTGAACACTACGCCCCTTTTGTGAGACTATCAACACCGCCATAGGCTGGCAAACCACAGTCTTAAATATCCTTGGCGTATTCACTGTAGCCTAGGCCAGTGTCTAAAATGGAAGGCCCTGCTCGGCCGGTAGATACTCAAGTGTGTATTAACACAGTTGTAATAGTCACTGTCTGCTGAGAGCGGGTTGTGCCACGCACCTGTGCTCAAGGAGTTACAGGTATCATTTCATTTGATTCTCACAACCACATATAAGGTCAGGATGATCAATCCCATTCTACAGATGGTTGTCATTAATGTTTTATTTCATTTAGCCTTCTGGCTTCCAGCCTAGGCCCACTCTTCTCTCCCCCTGCTTAGTGTGATTTTGCAAAATAACATGACACCACACACACACACCCCTTCATCCCCCTGCCCTCAGCCCTCTGCGATGTTGCTGTGAAGTGCACTGTCAGGGGCTAATATCTTATCTGGGGCTTCTAGACATGTTGGGGGGGGGTGGTTGTTGGGATGCACAGTTGTCAGGCTTTGGGAGCATGGGGGAATGACAATGGGATTTGGGTGTCCTGGAGGCTCTTTGGGAGCCTGTCAGCCCAAAGAACCAGGCTCCTATAAAGGTCATCCTTTCTGGACCCGTTTCAACCCTCTGTGACCAGTAATGTGCTCAACCCAACTCCCAAGACCCTGCCCTGCACTCCTTAGGAAACCACCCGCATCTCTTCATCTTGTCTGATGGTCACAAATGTGTGTGTGTGGGGGGGGGAGTTGGAGGAAAGAGGAAGGCAAGGTTGATGACATGCTCCATTTCACAAGACAAGTAAATNGGGGGGAGGGGGGGGAGTTGGAGGAAAGAGGAAGGCAAGGTTGATGACATGCTCCATTTCACAAGACAAGTAAATGGGGCAGAGAGAGGTAAGTGGTAGTGCCCGAGGCATCTAGCTAGGAGGGCATTTTGACTCCAGGTCTGAGTTCTTTCTGCACTAGTTCCTTAAAGGTTAATCAAGTGGGCTCTGGAACAAGACTGCCGGGTTAAAATCCAGGCCCAGCCTTTCGGTGACTGTGTGGCCTTAGGCACACACAGATAGCAGCAGATGACACAGCTCACAGTAACAGGCAAAGTGCTTGAGGGGCTGGAGTAGAAGGAAGAAACTATTCATTACCACCAGCAGCATTCACTTTCCCTAAAGCTTCCATAGAAGCTCTTGCTCTTTTCCTTCCTACACTTTTCTAAAGTGATGCACATCTAGCTCAGGAACATTCCTTAGACGGCCATTCTTCCCTAAACTTTTCTGTATTACCTCAACTTTACACTGAGCATTAAAAAGTTCTCCTCGCTGGGCTATTGTGTGGATTAAAACACATTCATAAAGTGCACCCCATATCAAAGCAAGAATAGGTTCTCAGTGCATGGTAACAATGAGCTCTCTTCATTATTTATGATGCAGGAGAAGGAACTGAGAGGGTGTGAGAAGGGGATTAGGACCCTGGCTCTGTTCCTTACTAGCTATGTGACCCCCTGCTGCATGTGCCACGTGGAAATATAAAATCACCTGTCTCTCAGAGCTTGGGAGAGTCAAATGAGGCAATTAGAGAAAAAAGTTTATAAACTGGAAAGGCTGATTCCTGTTATTATCATCATTATTGTGATTCTTATTATTATGAAATGTTTCCCTCAAAAGGGGGATAAAAAGGGGATGGCATTAGAAAGGCCAGCTGGGGGAGGGTCACTTCACTCCAGTGGGGAGCAGCTGGGCTTCCCTGTGCCCTGCAGGGGCAGTCACACCTTTGTGGCTGCATGTGAGTGAGTGTGCCTGTGTCTGTGCTTGCCTGTACAGGTGGGTGTTGGAATATGGCATGGGCACAAGGAAAGCCAGTGTCTGTGGCCAGAAATCACTTGCAGATTATGAATTCCCCCAGGAAGAATACAAATTGGATTTCAAAGATGCTAGCAGTGTTGGCACCTGGGAGGTGGAGGAGAGAAGCTAGGGGCAGGGGGTTGGGCCTGGTTTTAGAGATAGGGCCTGGGGATGGGTTTAAGCAGTGATTCTCTCCATGGGAATGGGGGGCACATATAGGAAGAGAATGTTGTCAGAGACCCTTGTGGTTGAGCCCAGGGGTTTTTGGAGCTGATGGACCTGGATTCAAATTCTAGTTATGGGACCATGGGCCAGTGCTTTCATTTCTCTGAACCTCAGTGTCCTGGTCTGTAAAATGGGGATATTAGTAGAGCCTACCTCCTAGGGCTTATTGGGAGTTTAACATGTGGATGCATGTAAAGCAAGGAACAGGCACATAGTAACTTATTGTTGCTGTCATTATTAATAGGCAGCCCAGAAGAAGGAAGGAGGGAGAGGGCCTCAAGAGGGGCCGGTGCTTTGTATAAACCATAAAAGGTAGTTCTGGTGTTGTCAGGCTGCCACAAGGAGCACCATTTTGGCTGAGGACCAAAGGGCCACTGTCCCAAGGAGTGAGGCAGAGGGACTGGGCTTTCATCACTCCTGCCAGTTTCCCTTCCTGGTTCCCCTCACTTCCTCTAGAGCTTCCTTTCCTGGGAGCCTGCCTGGTAAGACCTCTGGGGCTTTCCTCTCCACCCCTGGTGTTCCCAGGCTGAGCAGAGCTTTGGGGACTGGGGGAGGAAGCTGGGAGCTCAGGAACTCTGAGACAGGCCTCCTTCCCTCCACCCCAGTCCCCCCAGGCTACTGTCCCTCCGGTGAATCATTCCCACACTGCTGCTGCTATGGAATGTCAAGCAACTCCTCACCTGGGGGAGAGACATCACGATGGGGTGGAAACCATGTGGTTCAGCCTTTCCCAAAGGAAGGATGTGACAGCTCTGAGGACAGTCAGAGGACCACAGTGAGCCCTTTTCTGCATCCAGTGGGGCAAAGCTCCAGGGGGCAGGTGAAAGCAGGAATTGGGAGTTACACCATCCAGATTTAGGGGCAAGGCCCTAGAAATCCCTAACTGGCTCTGGCTCTGTAGCCTTAAGCAAGTTTCTCATCCTCTCTGAGCCTCCGTCAAATGGAAAGAGGGAAATCGTGATGACTCACAGGGTACTTGGAGGATTAAATAAGACTCTACATGTTAAGTCCTGAGCTTAGGGCCTGGCTCACAGTAAGGGCTCAAAAAATGTTCATTGACTCAATGAATGAACACGGAGTGGAAATGGGAGTGAGTGGGGATGGAGGGGAGTGCACGTGGCTGTCTTCAGGAATGCCATCCTCCACCAGCTGCAGGTGGGGGGCATGTCTGAGGACCTTGTATCCTAGACCCAGGACACCTGTGGCTCGATGCTGGTATGAAGGAGGCAGCTTCCAAAACTCAGACAGGAGTTTGAGTATGGAGTTTGGATTATTGCCTGTGGGCACAGTTGACACTTCTGCAAGCCAAACAAGAGCCTAGGGCTGGGTCCAGATTCAAAGTGCTGAGTGTCCCCTGTGCCAACAGATTCTAATTCATAAAATCACTTTGGAGCAGAGGTTCTCAAAGTGTGCTTACAGGGCATGTGTTAGAAATGCAAAGTCTCAGTCCCACTTCAGACCACAGAGTTGGAAACTCAGGAGGGAGGGAGTGGCTGGAGCAGCAGTCTGCATTTCACCGAGCCCTCCAGAACAGGGGCTAACGTTTGAGAACCATCGCTTTAGAGTTTGCAAAGCACATTCCTAGTTGTAAACCGACACTAGACACTTTCTTCCGCTCATGCTACAGGTGAGGGTGATGAGTGTTCCTTTGCCAGATAGCACCAATCATGGACGTGGAAGAGATGGGCCTGTAACCCACAGGTTTTGGTTTTGGAGTTTTGTGTGTGTTTGTGTTTATTGATTTTTAGAGGGAGAGAGAGAGAAATGCACAACCTGGGCATGTGCCCTGACCTGGAATGGCACCCTGCCACCTTTTGGTGTAGGGAACAAAGCTCCAACCAACTGAGCTACACTGGCCAGGGCGGTTCTGGAGTATTTTTGTTCGTGATCTCAAGGTCAGACTGCTGACTGGGTGGGAAAGGAGGGGGGCTCTGAGCTGGGGGGTTGCAGAGGGGGGGCTGGCTCCCTCCCTCCCCCCTGCCGGGAGAGGAGGCCGCTGTCTTTGTTTATTGTTCCCTCAGAGGTACCCCAATCCAAATCTACATAAATAAAGCGTAGCCTGGCACTTTGAGTGATCGGTTTATTAATACTCGCGGGCCGCTGCCG